CTGGGCCACCCAGCCGCGGGCCCCCGGGGAGCCCGGTGCGTGCCCTGGGGACCGGGCGACTGGAACGAGGCCGACGGCGCCTGCGCGATGTGGTGGAGAACCCGCACTCTGGGCTGGCTGGCAAGCTCTTCGCCTACGTCTCCGTGGCCTTCGTGGCGGTCACAGCCGTCGGCCTGTGTCTGAGCACCATGCCTGACATCCGAGCAGAAGAGGAACGGGTAAGTGTGGGCATGGGTTTCAGAGCAAGGGCGGGAGGAGGGGAAACCAGGATCATGGAGGAGTGGACAAAGGCCACATCTGGTGGGATGTAGCGATTCAGAGAGTGCATGCCGATTTCTAGTCATGGTTGCCCACTATGTCCCCTGCCCTGGCTGACTCCACAGCCTTCCTCCCCTCGTGCCAGGTCAGGAGTGAGGGTCCAATGAGCTGATACATGAAATTCCAAACTACAGTAAGTTTCAAGACAAAGACCCACAGTTTTTATCCTGGGGCCCTCTCTGCATCTCCAATAACTCAGCAGGCAGTCCCTCAAAGTCTAGACAAAGTAGAACTAAAAAATGCCTGTATCTTAAGGATCTAAAACAGTGATTCTCAACCTTCCTAGTGCTGCAACCCTTTAATACAGTTCCTCACGTTGGGGTGACCCCCAACCTTATTTTATTTTTATTTCATAACTGTACTTTTGCTACTGTTATGAATCCGATATGTGACCCCTGTGAAAGGGTCGTTCGATTCCCCCCAAACAGATCGCAACCCACACGTTGAGAACCACAGATCTAGAGGCTTGTACGGGTCAAATTTGGATATCCCAGGGTTAGAGGGCCTTTATGGAGAAATGAGATTCTGAGACTTTCGAGTGATCTGTTTCTTGCCCTCTGCTCTCTGTCTTGTCCACCAGTCCTAGAGTCCCAGCACGTGAAATGTGGACTGGTCTGTTGTCTATGGTCAGCCAGTTCTCATGACAGGCCAGAGGAGATACAAAACAAACCAACTTAACAGCCTTTATACTCATTGATCATGGTGGAAAAAGTTCTGGAAAGAAAGGCGAAAGACATTATGTAGCCGACTAGGGTCTGTGTTGCATTTGAACTTAGCTGAGTGCTACTCCAAGCCCTTCCAGCCCTTCCGTAGACACCTTTCTGTCCCCTGGGCAGACAGGCCCTCTGTCGGACAGGGCTCTCGGGTTACCCCTTGGAGTCCGGTAGTGTCCCTAGCCATGCTCAGTGTCCACCTAATGGGATAACTCATTCTAAGAAACCAAATTGACCAAGAGCATGGCAGTCCCGACTACAAATTAAACTTAAAGGTAAACTTAAGAAAACTGGTTTGGCTTCCCTCGTTATTGGTTGTTCCAAGCCTGAGCCATCTCGGGTCGTGTTAAGCAGTCACGAGTTTCTGGTTCCGCTTCTAAGATGATACTTGAGGCATGAAGTTTGGCTCAGGGGTGACGCGTTCTCCTGCTTGCACAGTGGAGGCGGGGGTGGGGGCCATTCAAAGGGTTGGATTTTTACGTGGTAGTAATTCCATATCTTACTCAGGCTGAAAGTCGTTTGTGAAAGATTGGGGAACAGAAGCTAAGTGCCTCAGCGAGACGACAGATCTGGGGAGCCAAGCCCCGGGCCCTCTAGAAACAATGCTCACCTCCCTGTCCTCCACCATTCTACACTTCCAAACACCATCTTCCTAATGCAGTTTCTCTGCCAGGCTTTTGGGGGGCACTGACCAGCTCCCAGTCATGACACAGAGACTTAGTTTTGAATGTTCAGCCTGGCTTAGGCATGTTTCTGAATAGCTCTTTTCACTTAAATTAACATGGTTCTCTTTACCTACATTTCGCCTCAGGGCTTTTTACTTTTCTTTCCTTCTGTGTATCTTAGCTTCACTGCTTCTCACGTCTACTGACTGGAGGCTGCCTGACTTCTTGCCCTGGGCATATCCCTCATTCTCTCCTCCACCTCCTTGTTTTCTTCCTTCTCTTTTGAGCCTAGATTTCTCCTCCTGCAGGAAAAATCTCTCCCCCTTGCAGCTCCGTATCCTTTCTCCTGCCTCACTGTTGGCCATTTGACTTTTTATTAGCCCAATCAGATGCCTTAGGCAGGCCAGGTGAAGGAAATGCAACACAGTTTTACATAATTAAGCAGACAACCTTACATCGTTAAACAAGTGCAGCGTAAAGAAGAATAACACGCCTTTACACAGTTAAAGTAATCGTCCACAGCATAAACAAATGTCACACATCTTTATGTTGTGAAAATAATAGTCTTCGACAAGTTACAATTAAGAAGTGGTGACCTTTGGAGAGAGGCAGCTTGCCAAGGCATGTCCACGTTGCTAGAGTGCGGACTCATACAGTCTCTTTGGAAAGCTGTTGCCAATAGATGACTGTAAAAAGATGGTTCTACTGAATCTGTCTTAGAGACCCTAGGATGTTTTGACATCTGCTCTCTGGCCTGTTAGTGACAAAATGGACACCAGACAGCTTCCAGTGGTCCGGTTGGAGCCAGCTTGGCAAATTCCTTCTCTCTGCCACCTGGGATGTGGGTCAACAATATGCATGGTTGCCAGACCTCCCCTAAAACTTAGCTTTCCTATCTTCTCCCATGAAAGAAGCAGGTCTGGTTGGTTGGGGATACCCTAGGAAGTTTGTGAGGGCCATAGCTGGCCCTTGGTCCCATACCCTCTGCTCCATCCTACCTAGGTGCAGGGGTCTGAAGGGTCAGCTGGCAGAACTCACCGTCGGGGCATGGAGCTGCAGATGAGACCTTAGCAAGGGCTCAGAACCCACAAGTCTAAAGTGTTAATAAGGTTAATAGTACCAAGCCTGGTTAGTAGGGAGAGAGGGTTAAGTAAGATTAACTGGGCACCACGGATAACACTGGCTGGGAGCCCCATCAGGGACCGGGATGCTTGTTCCCTAAGTTGCTGATACAGAAACCACAAATTGCCTGCCTTACTGTGGGACACAGCTCTGGCGAGTAGACATTCATAATGGGTGAAGCCAATGTGGAGCAGTGTTGGCCCCTTCCTGATCTTGCCTTTAGCTTCAGGCCCGGCCTTCTTGTTCCTTTGGCACCAAGGCTAATTGACCCCAGCCTCCTGAGTGCACAAATCCTTGAACCTTGTCAAGCCCACCTGGGTAACTGGATCAGCGTCCCTTCTGTGAGCCTATAATCTTGTCATACCGCAAGTTCCTTTTGCCACAGGAGGTGACATATTCTCAGACGGTTCCATGGTAGTCAAGCAAAATTGTGGCACATTAGAGCTAAGCCGGCTGCTTTGTCCTCCAGCATTTCGGGTTCTGCCACGCACCCTGTCTAGTTTGGGAACCACACATGCCTGCTGGTCCCAGAGTTAAACAAACACCTGTTGACCCAGTTCTGGCACCCAGAAAAGGGCTGCATGACATGGCTTTGCACTGATGGCCAGGAAAAGCCGTGCTTGCTGCAGGGACCGGAAGGGTACATGCATTTGTGTATAGCCTTTCTGTTAGAATCACGTCATCCACATGCCTACAAGCTTCCAGCTCCTCAAATCTGTTGTTTGTAAAGTGCTGTTCTCGCGGGGTACAGTTCTTTTCCATACTTCTTGTGCTGCGTGCATAACCCCACATTAAGTGGCAATCCCAGCAGTCTTTCCCTAGGGGATTGTGCTGTGACCCCGTGCCTCTGCTGCAGCACCTGGGGCCCAGCCTTCCGGTCCCAGTAGGCTGTATCCTCAAGGTAGTCCATGGGTGATCATTCACTCAGTAGCTCTGTCTTTAAAGAAGAAAAAGTTCATTGACTTCTACACCTACAGTATTCTCATACCCTGGGAATAGAGTTAGCAACCAATGGCCTAAAAATGTATTGCCATTGTAACAGCCCTGAATTCTTTGACTCTCAAAAAAGTATATTCCGGAAAATATGCTGTCTTAGTTAAGTTTCTATTGCTGTGAAGAGACACCATGACCACAGAAACTCTTGTAAAAAAATGTTTAGTTGAGGGGGCTCGCTTACAGTTCAGAGGTTCAGTCCATCGTGGCGGGGAGTATAGCAGCATGCCAACAGGGTGGCGCTGGAGAAACAGCCCAGCGTCCTACATCTTGCGGGCCACAGGAAATCTGCTATCACACTGAGTGAAGCTTGGGAAAACACCTCAAAGCCCACCCCACAGTGACACACTTCCAACAGAAAAAGGTGTGGCCTCCAGCCTCAAGCTCTGCACTAAAGGTGTGTGTCATCCAGCCTCCTCCAACAAGACCACACTTCCTCCAACAAGCCATGCCTCCTAATAGTGCCACTCCCTATGAGTATATGGAGACCAGTTACATTCATACTACCACATATGCCATCACACACTTTTCTGAGATCCCCAGGTGGATACCCTGTGATAATGTGCACGCTTTGGATGCTAAATCGTGGCCCTGGGGTGAGTCATCAGTGTATTAGCACTAAGTGCTGAAGGTGGTTGGAGGGACTCAAAGGCCAGGGCCTGGAATAGGTCTGGCAGGTGGAGATTCAGCTCAATACTGTGTCTCTTCAAGCTCCTGCCCTTTGCCTTCTGTGGGAGACCTGCAGAGGAGACAGGAGCCTCCACCACAGCTGATATCTTCACAAAGTCTCCAATGAGTCTGCAGCCTTCACTATGTTGGGCTGGAGGAGACAGCTCCTCTCCCTTCTGCTTGCTGCAGGCCGGTGTGGATGTGCGTGATCAGGTATTGTGTTAATATACCTGGGGAACATGTGTGCCTTTTCCTGGGGAGACATGTTCAGCTAGACACCAATGAAATGGGCAGTTGTTTCTAGGTCTAGCTTAGTGTACCAGTGAGTGTGTAATGTTTACTTACAGGAACATGAAGGACCACTTAGGCAGCTATATCACTAAAAACCTCACCCAGCATGGGTGAGGACTCAGGAAAGCTGCATCCCTGGGGCTCCCTGCCTCGATTATGAACAGCAGGTAAGAGCATCATCAGCTGCTCTTCCAGAGGATCTGAGCTCCAATTCCCAGCACGCACATGACACATCACAACCATCTGTAATGCCTATCCTGCCCATCCCAGAGGATCAGATACCTTCTTCTGGCCTCAGAAGACACTATATGCATGTGCTGCACACATGTATGGTGCAAGCAAAACACCCATATGCATAAAATAAAAATAAAAGGGAAAATTTATAGGTAGCTTGACCAATCAGAGAATCTATTCTCTCAAGCAATTGCTAATCTTATATAACTTTGG